GTTGTTAGCTCAATCGCTCTAGCTTCCTGTGGACGATCACGATGATCGATCTTTAAATAACTAACCCGAATACAGTCCAGTCAACAGAGCCCTTCCACGCGTATGTCCTCTTCTTGTAGCACCCAACAGGTGCGAGATTTCAGCCCAGCTGAGAAAGAACATGAGCTTGGGAGCCAGCATCTGAAAATATTTGCTTGGTACATTCCACAATGGTTCATGTGCGCCGTTGAGGCTCGCTGGGGGGTTTCTGCGGGCCTTTGAACGGACTATTTCTTGGAGGCAAGCAAGGAACTCCCAGACTGACAAGACAAAGCTTATTGTTGTGGAAATTGCATTGATGTTGGACAACCCCACTCAGTCTCGAGGGTGTGCATAGACAATGGCAATGTTCACCAACAAGCCAGAGCCGTTGTCTGAAGATGATGTTTATGTTGACTTTTTTTCGTTTGTTTTGTTTACTTACTTCTACATTGGCTCAAGCTCTGGTCAGCCAAAGCGGGGGAGCTTCAAGACAATGACCCAGATCCCATTGTTGGGGAACCACGATTCTAGTGTGCATGACGTGAATTTCGCTTCTGCATGGCCGCATGGCCCATCGACGCCGTTCCTCGATAGTTCTCAACAGTGGTCTCTGGGCTAAGAGGCTGAGCCGCTAGGATCTGATTGCTCACGTCGATGACATGTCACGGCTCCAGTTCAGTTCAGTTTGTAGGAAATGAAGGTGAGCAAACCTCATGCACACGCCTCGATCGAGGTCTCAGCCTCCAAGACCGGGTGTTCATTCGTACTTGGTTGATCGACGGCGTGCAGTTGATCGTCACCTTACCCACAAGACACGCACGCATTTGATAGATGATGCCTCAGAGACTTCACATGTTCCCCTTGGCGAGATACCAAGCCCGCGGCTCGGAAATCAAAGCTTCATACCCTGAACCGCGGGTTGGACAATCCAGTGGAGAACGCCAACGCCTAAGCCGCTGCAGTGCGTCAGACTTTTTTCCCGTCCTTCCCGTTACATTGAGCGGGAAAAGAAAGAACATGCGGCTAAGAGAAACCGCTTTTTTTTGTCGTAGTTGTGCCAACTGTCTGACTGTTTACTTTGGCGTTTTTTTCTCCGCTGAAGGAAAACAATGGTGAACAATGAGACATGATTCAAGTCACGAGGCAATAAAGTGTAGACAAGACGACAAACTCAAAGGTAGAAACCAGGAAACAGGAAAACAATAAAATATGCCATCATAGACTTGCCGCTGTCATGACAACTCCCTTGACAACTCCTCAGCCGCTGCCTCTGCGTGCAGCACTAGATCAACTGCCACGACCAAGCGACAGCTTACATCTGCAACTTCTATTTGACAATTGGGCCCTCTGAAACATTGTCTCGCGAAGTTTGGACCTTGGGACTATCGGTTGGGCTAGATCTGGACCAGGGTTGATAAACCGCTGAGCCCGTGTCTTGGTTTAACCCATGTCTCAGTGTCATTTCCGACAACTGATCGCCTCTTATTCGCGGGGCACGTGGGTTAAGGGGATGGGTTGCAAGTTTCTGATCGATTGATAAGAGGTTTTTAGATAGATGATAGGTTTTGAAGAGACAGATAACCGTTGTGCCCCTTTTGTCGGCATGTTACTTGGGTTCAGTTCAATCTCTGGCGCAGCATTTGCTTGCCTCCCATAGACGGCAGCCCACCAAACACGACAGCCTACCAAAGGCAACCACATGCCGTCTTTGTGTTCGGTGTAAATGATTGTCGTATACAAATCACATCTCCCGACTCTCCAGCGCTTCATCCCGAGACCCAGTACCAGAATCCCTGCACCTTGGAGTACGAGTGAACAACTCTAGGCGACACCAGTAGCGTTGCATTGGCCAAATGGCAATATCACGACTTATACTAAAAGCCAAACAAGGAAAAGATCAAGAAGAAAGAACCCTGAAGCCGTCAGGAGTAACTGTCCATCGCAGACGTTGTACTCAGGGACCACCTGAAACCCAGCACATACTCACCGCGCGATATAGGGGTCCGGTCTGGGCGCTACTGGGGAATTCATCAGAGACAACCCCGGGAAGACTAGATTATTCCATGCCACTCTAGAGGACGCATTGGTAAAAAATAGGGTTGCGTCCGAGAACAGTTCATCATTAAACCCTTGTCTGACTGTGGCAGATAAATGTCGAACAGAAAAATGTAGAATATATATGATCAACTTACCGGGGGAAACACCAAGACAGTTCCTTGCACAGGCACAGGCCAGCACTTTCTTCAAATCACGTAGTTCTCGGGTTGAAATACCGAGTCAGGTCATGATTTCGTTCGACAGAGAGGCCCAAGACTGCCGGTTACTACGTGCAGGGTTTGTGATTAGCATCATCTATAGCTTCTCTTCATATATGCTACCTAAAAATGCCTTGCCTGAAACTATCATAATATGGACTATAGTGCCCGGACCAATACAACTCTTGCCAAGTTGGGATTGTTTACACATTGTCGAGAGTAGCCCTCTCTGTGGGAACGTTTACCACCGTCTCTTAATATCCAAATATTAAGAGGGATTTGTTATTCAAAACAATTATTTCACATGATTATACCTTGAAGTTACCCCGGAGTAAGTTTGCAAGGCAAGCAGATCCATCCTGTGTGACATGCGAGATGGCACATTTACACCCCACGAGAGATTGTCAGACACGACAATCAGAGGAGACAAAGAACGTGTAGATTCTTCAAAAGAATCATTAAGCAGAGTCGACGAAAACAGATAGAAATTTCGACATGTAGTTTAATTGCTTGTCTCAGATCCATCGCAAAGCCCGGTGGCTGGGGCACTAACAAGTTGTTGACATCATTGACTCTGTAATTATCAAAAAACCAACACCACGAGATCTCAACAAGACTTGATTCCTACTTTACCTCAGACACAGAAACTGTAAAGTTCAACAATGGGAAAACCCCGCGTCATCTACTGGTTCCGCACCGATCTGCGGCTGCACGACTCGCCAGCTCTCAAGGCCGCCCTTGACCTCGACCCGGCTGTGCTCTGGCCCATCTTCACGTGGGATCCTCACTATGTGTATCGAGCGCGTGGAGGTCTTAATCGATGGCAGTTTCTGTGAGTGATAAACACATGTCTTGCTATTTTGAGCTTGTGGGCTAACTCGACGTAGACTTGACTGCCAGAATGACCTCTCCAAGTCCATCACCAAGTTGAACCCCAAGTCGAAGCTCCTTCTCCTCAGAGAAGCTCCACAGACCCTCTTCCCAAAGCTCTTCAAGGCCTGGAAAGTCACTCATCTCGTCTTTGAAAAAGACACCGACAGCTATGCCCGTGAGCGAGACGACGTTGTCACACGAGCTGCCAAGGAGGCAGGCGTCGAGGTCATTGTCCGCACGGGAAGAACACTCTGGGATAGCGACCAGATAGTCGAGAAGCACGGTGGTAAACCCACAATGTCAATCACCCAGCTTCAGCAAGCCGGCGCCAGACTCGGCGAGGTTCGTAAGCCCATACCTGCTCCAAAACATCTTCCAGATCCTGGAGAGATGCCTGTCGACTTTGAGCAAGAACAGCCCAAGACAAAACCCGACTTCAACTCGGAGCAAAGAACAGAAAAAGATCAGACATATACCAAGATAGCTGGTCCAAACGGAGACTTTGCTATCGAGACCATGGAAGAGCTGGGCTTTCCATCAGCGACGACTCCCCACAGAGGAGGTGAAACTCTTGCTCTCGAGGCACTCGACAAGATCATTGCCGACAAGAAATACACAGCCAAATTTGAGAAGCCAAAGACAAGCCCGGCCCGGTTTGAGCCACAATCCACAACTCTTCTATCACCCTTCTTGCACTTCGGGGCACTCTCTGTGCGAGAGTTCTACTGGCGTGTCCAAGAAGTTGTCGACGCTTACGGAAAAGGGGCTTCAACACCGCCAGAGAGTCTCATCGGTCAACTTCTCTTTAGGGACATGTACTTTGCGGCTCAGGCAGCCTTGGGAGATGTCTTTATGCAGACTGTCAAGAATCCGCATTGCCGCTTCATCCCCTGGCATCTTCCATCCAAGAGGGATCCGAAAACTGGCCTTGTCACTGGAGAGTACCACGTCGACTCTGAAGAAGCAGATATCTGGTTCAAGAGGTGGAAGACGGGCATGACGGGTTTCCCCTGGATTGATGCGCTCATGAGGCAGCTGAAGGAGGAAGGTTGGATTCATCACCTTGGACGTCACGCCGTGGCGTGCTTCCTCACAAGAGGCGGATGCTACATTGACTGGGAACGCGGCTGCGAGGTCTTTGAAGAGTGGTTGATCGATCACGAGCCTGCTTGCAACGCTGGGAACTGGCAGTGGTTGTCCTGCACAGCCTTCTTCTCACAATACTTTCGTTGCTACAGTCCCGTCTCATTTGGCCAGAAATGGGATAAGCAGGGCGACTTTATCCGTCGTTATGTTCCTGAACTAAAGAACATGGACGCCAAGTACATATACGAGCCGTGGAAGGCCCCGCTGCCTGATCAGAAGAAGGCGGGTGTCCGTGTCAAGGGAGATGGCCTGAACGATGTCCAAGAGGGCACATATCCCAAGCCAATGTTTGACTTTTCAAAGAGACGAGATGCGTGCCTCGCTGCCATGAAGACAGCGTACAAAGTTGGACTTCATGGGAACGACGAAAAGGTTCTGGATGGGACTTGGAGGGAACTCTTCCCTTCTGGTGATGGCGGGGAGATCCAGGGCGAGATCGAGAGTGACGATGGAGAGCACGCTGATATAGGAGATGATGAAGGTGATAGAGAACAGAATGAAGCGAAAGAGGAAGGGGAGGGTACAGCTTCTTTTGAGAATCAAGATGGCGAGACTGCGGGTAAACGAAGTGGGAGAAGGCATAGCACTGAGAAGGTTGCAAAGAAGCGAAAAACCTGAGTACGAGACTTTATTCCATAGCCCGTATCTGGATGCAGTTTGCAGCCGGATTATAGTGTGCAATGCCAGAGCCGTAAAGTGACCTCGTCAGATCTTTTCCCTCTCATCCGCCAGACGAGACCACTCCATCGCCCAAAGATTGTGTGTCTTCTTGGCCTCCTTATCCGTCTCCCTCGCCTCCTTCTCAAACTCAATCTCCGAAAGCTGTCGAAACATTTCCAAGCGTCCGTTTATGCCAGCTGTGTAAAGGTACTGCTCCATCTTGTCAGGACCGCTCGTTCGAAGCATTTCAGCAAGCTCGACGGCCGCCTCTCCAGAGCCAGCTCCCTCAACTCCCTCGAGCACCTCCTTCGCCTCGGTAGTCCTTCCGAGCTTTAGGTATGATCTCCCGAGGCACAGCTGACAGTGATACTTCCACTCAAACTCGGTGCCTTCGGGACCGAGCGCGCGCTGTAGCACTTTTACAGCGGCATCGTACATGCCCAGGTTATAGAGCCTCTCGCCTTCAGCAGTGAGAGCGTCTCTGTCTTTTCCTTCCTGTACAATCTTCTTGAAGCGGGACTCGATGTTCCTGTACTGCGGCGATTTGCCCCAGACGCCGCTCCCGATGAGCTCCCTCGCCAGAGAAATGGTCGACGGCCTATAGCCCATGTTTGACGCTGCTGTCCACAAGGCTCCAGCAAATAGCTGAGATTGTTTAGATGTCAATCTCAAGATGCAGGCTAGTTCATGAAGAACATGTGCCGGCACATCATCGTCTAAATACATCTTGTTAGTTTACCCATGGCGCTCCATCAACATGGGATCTTCACCTTTTGACAACTTGACATTCCAGGGAGATGCCCCCTTTTTGATGGCATCTTGAAACAGTAAAGCAACCTTGTGGTATTCTTCCGGAGACAGGGTGCTAAAGGTCCCCTCTGTCATATCAATGATTGCCTTGATGTCCCCGGGTGTGACGCTTGAGATGTCAAAGAGCTCCGAGTTGGACGGTCTGGCTGCTGGTGCTTTTGGCGCTCGCGGAGCCCGTGGTGCTTGTGTGGCATATGAATTTGCCTGAAATAGTGCGATACTGGGAGATTGACTGCTACCAACAGCTTTCAACCCGCAAGGTTGCGTTGTGGACAGAGGTTTCGGGGTAGAGCTGAGCAGCTGTGAGCAGAGCCGACGGGCTCTCAAGTGACGAGACATGGCCTCTAATTGGTACCAATTATATCTGGATTATAATTTCCAGGGTAAAATCCCTTGGGACTCGTCAATTGCCAATTGCTCAACTCGGGAGTGAGGTTGTAGAGTTGCATGAGGTTGAATCGCACACCAGCCACAATCCCAGCAGCCACAGGTGAGCAGACCAATCACGTCTCGCGGAGCCACAAGGTGAGCAGAGCACACCGAAAAACCAACCTCATTCTGAATTTTTCGAGCATAGAAAAGGGAAACTTGATACACGATTCACGTCCAAACTCGACATCTTTTCTGAGCGAGGCGCTTAATTGCCACGCTTCATATTGAATAATCACTTGAAGGATATTATTTCTGTTTCACTTTCGGCGTCACACGGAAATCAGAGGATCGGATACTGAACTCTTCATCTCATCTCGTCGCGTACATTCACCAGAGCGCTCACCAGCTAGCGACACCAAACAATGGCACCAGCAAAAACCCGCAAGAGAAAGTCCGACCAGGGTCTCCCAGTCGAGACACCAGTCGAATCTTCAGCATCAGACGACTCCAAGATACAGCACAAACTCCCCGTCAGAGCAAAGGATGGCGAGTCTGCTCAGAGCGCAAAGCCTGCTTCGACGCCGGCAAAGGGTACTATGATGGTCTTTGGGGATGATGACGAGATTCCGGTGCCTGCGCCTTCAAAGCCCGTGGTTCAGGCTCCTGAGGAGGAGGAGGAGGAGTCCAGTGATGATGAGGCTCCCGAGGCTGTTTCCACAGCCAAGGTAGCATCTGATATCAAAAAGTCTAGCCAAGCGGCCCAGAAGACTGCCCAAGAGTACGTCTTGCCCTTGATTGTCAGCCCAATTCCACAGCCATTAACCTCTGTATAGACAAGCCGCAGCGCAGAAGCGAAAGCGCCGGGAAAGGGATACTCTCTTCAAGCAGCAAGCCGAAGAGCGCAAGAAGCTAGAGGACGAGGCCAAGGCCGCCGAGGGCGAGCCAGCTGAGCCCGCTGAGTCTGCAGTCCAGAAGCGACAGCCAGCCAAGACGCCCAACCTGCTACCCGCAGAGTTCCTCACAGACTCGTCGAGCGAAGACGAGGGCGCGGATGATGATGATCAGGCTATGGCACGGCCAAGGAAGCGTCGTGTCACCGCCGTGGAGAGGACCTTGGCGCGTCAAAACCGCGGACCCAAGGACGAGACGATCGGGTCGACGGTGTACCGCGTGGCTAAAAAGGTGGACGAGAGAATGGCACCCAAGCTGCGCAAGCACGCCAGGAGTTCCAAGGAGCTGATGCTCAAGCGGAATCGGAGCGCTGCGAAGCCTTCGCGGTCTGGGTTCTTGGTCAAGTAAAAAAGTTGATGTGGGAGAGGTTTTTTTGCATTGGCGTTGATGTTGTTTGCTATGTACACGGCCTAATATTGGATGGACTAGAATAGCATATGCAGTATTGTTTTTCTGGTGATAGCTCGGCTGCAATTATTCACATCCCCATGTGTCACAAGTGAGCGGTAGGCTGTGAGATACTGGATGGATGTTGATTCGTGGTTGTTCATGCATAATACCATCAAACATTGTGATTGCCGACAATATGACAGGTTTCCGGCAGGACTGACCACAGCAAACATGCATACGGATAGACATCATAGCCACGACAAATAAATGATAATAGCCTTTGTGAAATCGGCATATTTCAAGCCCGAGTCAAGTTATGTTCAGTTTGCTACGGTTGAGGCTCATTGAATATTAGCTACCCTGTACCGTCACCGATGGGTACGCGGGACAGCAACGGCACAAACCGCCTGGATCACGGGCAGGTCCCTCGATTAGCATTGACGCTGGTCTAGCTCACGGCAAGTTGCTTAACGCAAGAGATCCCGAGGGACCAAGCTCGCCATTGCCGACGGCTATCACCCATCCATCCGTGGTTACGCAGAACGAAAACACGGATCCGCAGACTCTGACATTGCGATAGCTGCCCATATCCACATTCAAATGAGAAAATCGCCGCGTGTCTACCGAGATCATGTGGGGGCCTTTTATTTCTTGGTGAGCAACCGTCGAAGGACCGGCGTATGTTTGGAGGCACGACGACGCGATAATCGTCACCGGAAAGTTTCGACGAACCGGAAGACTCCAGACCCGGCCCCGTCCATCTGGACCTGCAGCTGCTGCTTCACACACATTCAAGGAAGTAGAGCAGAGAAAGAGGATTCATTAATGAATGCAGTCATTATTCCCCGCGTCAAGAGGTGGATTTCCTGCTGTGGGCCGTCGTCGACTCCTAGGGTTGTGACCCAATTGAGACGCTCGAGACAGGCTTCAACTGCCCTGATCCCTGGCTTCGTACTGCAGCACCAGTCCTTGTCAGGGGGTGGGAGGGATGAAACGGTTAGAGTTAGGAACATATCGAGTTTCCCAGCCTTGAATTTTGACAGCAACCATAGAGTCAGTCAACTCTGACGGCAGAATGGCTGTGCTATGCCGGTTGGTAGTCCTAGGACCGGACGATCTGGCGTCACATAGCTGCGCGGAACACCGGGTCCTCGAGAAGCCCGTAGCAGATGGTATGGGTCCGAATCAATAGTCCTCAAGGACCCCCGGAACTGCCCATGTATAACAAGGCACATATAGTCAGGTGCCAATCCAAACATGCGAGACGAAGAGGCGAGGAAACTGTGGCATGGAATGACGAATCCCACCTCACCAAAGCCAACACCACACGAGGCAGGAAGTAGAATGCATAATGCTTCGTGGCCTGTGGCGGATATCAGAAGCCAACCACTCTGCTCACACGGCCATGGAGTACAGGTTATGAAACCTAGCTGATTGACGACGGAATGATATCACCTGGAAAGCCTGTCCTTGATGCTTTCTGCATAAAATATGCTGAGCTTCGGGAGATCGACGCAGGCAATTTGGACAGGACGCCCTGACTCGCGTTTCGTACCTCGAGCATCTGTACTCTGTCTGACCCGATTGTCATTGGCGATCAACCTGCATGCCGGCACACACTTGAGCCACTTGAGACCAACAAATGTCTCGGGGGCTCGGAAGTTGCTGAACTATTTTTGTTTCTGGAATAGCCGTTGAATAAAAAAAAAGAAGGAAAAAAAAGGGAGGGCAGTCTGGGCAGCACAGCATGGTGCCGAGTCAGCCACGTGGGATTAACGTGACAGCAAGTGTCAGTGGACGTGCGAGACACTGTTGACACATGCTACAAGACAAGAGGACCCTTTGATTTCAAGCGAGTACTTGAAGTTGGCCATGATTGTCGTTGATGCTGCGTGGCCTGTATCATGTGGCCTTTGTGAAAGATATCTAACAATCGTGATCAAAAGCTGACTGCAGAGGCTCAGTACCGGCAGCGGAATCTCAGATCGGACAAAAAGCAACGGTAGCAGAACACGATCGGGCAATTCAGCTCTGTGGAGAGCCACAATGTTGACCACTCACTGGTGGCCTCCCGAACTTGATGCTGCCGGCTTTTTGCTTCCAATGCCAAGGAACCCATGTGGACGGAGAAAGAGATCGTATCTTGCACGACGGCAAAAAGCAAAAGCAAGCTGTGAGTTGGCCCGGAGCGAATAGTGCTTCCTTGAGACCTGGGCAGGCTCAAGAGCGAGCCCGATGCTGTATCCCTTTGGTCCATGATTCGCCTCGACTGCGAAGCGGGCTGAGGCGGGGCGCCATCTTGATGATCCCCGAGCCAACTTGCATGAGTCCGCCAGACTTGGGGGCCTTGGAGCCACGCGCGAGTTGCTGCAGGCCTTTCTGCGCGCCAAAGGTCCGTGCCATTCTCCAAAGTCAAGGTCAAGCCAAGCCACGGGGGATCGGTTGGTGTAGGCGTGGAGAGGCGAATTTACCATCACCAACTTGACGGGTTGCGTGGCGCCAGACTTTGAGTGAGCTTGGGGAGCTGAACCCCGGAAATCTTCTCGAAAGAGGCAAGAAAGGGGCACTGGCAAAAAAGGGCCCTGCGAGCACTGTAAATCCGACATGACAGCCGCCCCCCTCCCTCCCCAGAACAAGACATATGTCATCGCCGGCAAGAACTCCATCTTGTGGATGATGTGATCTCCCACAGGCGAGCCGTCTTGTCATGACAGGCAAGGCCACCGTAATAATAACGGCGGGTATCATTCATGCTAGATGATGAGCTAGCATGGGATACCCAGCTTGAAAGCCCTGTGCTATCGCTCATGGGAGACGTCTCCGCCTGCGCGCTCGGACGGACGTCTGGATAACCTTGCTCGACGGCCCAGCAACCCCTCGTGTCTGTGAGAGTACGGTACAGGGCGACAAGCTGGTCGACAACGTGGATGACTAGTGAGTGAGAGCGGCAGTCGAACGAGATCACCGGCACCTGGTCTGTGTAGATGGTGCTGGACTTCGTCCTCCGAGATAAGATGAGGTCCATGGATGGATGGATGGATGACTGACTGACTTCAACTGAGGCGAAGGAGGATTCCAGGGGTCCTGACTGCATACAACAAGCTCCTCGCACTTCAGTATGCAAGTGTGTCTGTGTGTCAGTTGTCGCCCCATCGGCTCGCCCCGTCTGACCTCGTCTGGCAGACAGACACTGGACAGCTCTTGATGCAGTGGATGTCGTCTGGCGTCTCGTGAAAGGGCGATATCCACAGAAGATTCGCTGGAATAACTGAAGAAGGACGCTAGGCCTGATGACCGTATGCAAGCCAGCAGCTGGAATGACGCTTCGATTCCGTTCTCGAGCCCTTCTAGGCTTGACCTCTGCACACCATCAGATGCATTTGGATGCACTGTGTGGTAGACAAACACACACACACACACACACACACACACACAAACAAGGTCGCTTATTTGTTCTGCCGCCTCGCGTGTAGGTAGCTCGCCAAGCGCTGTTAGCGAAGTATGCGCAGTAGAGTAATAACGAGAGCCGAGAGTGAGTCTTCATCCGTGCCGTAATCGCGCCTCGAGCTTGACAGTTGCATTGCAGCAAGAGCCGTGAACTCAACCTCACGACACTCCCCCAAGAAAGGTTATGCTAGCGAAAGGAACCAACCTGCAATTCATTTCCGATGAGGGATTCTGCTCCTGGGGTTTCCAGGGCTAGATCGAATCAGGATTGGAAGGGAGGTACCAAGCCGCAGACTCTCCCCTGGACTGGAACCTGAAGCCCTGGAAGGGAAGGGTTCCGTGTTGCGCCACATGCCCTTTTGGGGATAGCCTCCCGTTGGGGTCTGGTCCAATGTCACGGTAGGTGGTATCCGTTCCTTCATCCTGTCTTGCTTGACTTGGTTGACTGGTGCTTGGACAACGGCATTCTTTCAGCCCGGTTTCGACCTTTCATCGCTACTTTGGGCTTCTTTGTGGCAGAAACGACAATCAGTTTCGAGTCTTGTAGTTCTCTTTGCCACTCTGATCTTCTCAAATGGTCCGGCGTTGTCAGTATCACAAGAGAGCAATGACCACGCAAATGCTGTCTTGTTGCAGGTCACGGCCGCTGGCTCAAGGATAGCCCAACCCAACACGGATGGATGCCGGGGAGACTACCCGGCCAATCGCCTCTTTTGTCCACTTCAACTCTCTTGTCATGTACCCTGACCAAGGGAAGGGCGACAAGGGGACCACGGGGCGCTATCGATGGCAGTGGTGGACGTGGGACGACGCCGTCTGGTTAACGATGCTCTTAACACGCGCGCTATATGGCCATTTGCCATGCTACAATCGCGGCGGACGTGAGGCGACATGTTTTGAGGGCAAGCCCGGCCAGAGGCTTGTCGCCCTCTGTGCTACATTTGCGGCAGACCATGCCCGTCATGTAACCGCTTTAGTGGGCGTTGGAGTCTTGGTCTAAACCACCATGGCTTTCCGGGCGCTGTTGAGGTGGTTGCCGACCGTTGACAGAGGCGGCCCCTTGTCTTAAAGTAGCTGTGTTAAGGTGCCTGCTTGTATGGGTGCTTGAGACTTTTCGGTTTCAGAACAGAAACAAATCCGGCACCAAGAAACAAGCAACCCCTGAAATCCTCTCAGGCTTGTCTCATCTCGTCCACCTTTGCCTGAGAGGAATCTGTCTCGGCAACAGGTCAGTGTTTGAGCGCTTCTGCTTCGCCCCATTGTGGAAGCTGTCGTCTTATCGCTTGTCGCCGCGGTGGACAATCCTATCAGCAAGTGCTCCATCTCGCAGGGGATGTGACGAACCTGAGGGGTCTGCTTGGATAGTGACCAGCTGGCCGCCTGGGCCAGCATTCCAGACCAGGTCTTGTTTCTTTTCCCAGTGCTTGAATCGTCAAACCCCTAACAGAGTTTTCTTGTTGCTATCGACTATTATCGTTTGGCCAATATCCGCTAGGCTATGCACCGACTTTGATGATGGATCATATCAAGGAACAATATCAACTCACCCCAGCAGTAATAGTTTGAACACTATATGCTGACCCGTCTATTTAAAAAACAAATATCGTTACTGTTCATCCGAATTTTTTTATTTTAAAATTAGGTA